CCCCTACAGGCATTAAGACACCCACAAAACCCGTTTAAGAGCGCACCTACTTGGGAACTGAAACGGGTCCCCAATTCACAGACATTCGCATGATAATTTTATTCCTGTAACTGGGAATGAGAAAATAGATCTAGGTAGGGTAAAGTTCTCACGGCAATTTTCAACACCATTAAGGCCGCCTTGTTTCTGTCGGGGTTTAAATGAGGTACAGTTAGATACGGTCTTACACATGGGAAGAAAAATATATTGTAGGAACATTTAAGAATTTAATTTTTTCCCCAATAGTTGAAACATTAATTTTTTCCCCAACCCGTTTCAATATTAAAGGTTTTCACCAGCTATTGAAACAGTCTCGTAAGCTGTTAGATCCTGTACGGTAAGACGGTGTATTAACTTCTCTTGAGAGATGTGATCGACCAACCTGTAGCTGTTTACACACTGGTGAGCAGCTTAGTGAGTGTACCGCCGCTGGCTACCAGGGCGGGGTGTGGCGAGGACTGAGAGAGGAGCCCAAGGTTAACAGTCAGTCTGATGTGAACAATGTCTTCTAGTCAAGATGGTAAACCTTGTTGTATATTGAAGGTTTTTCCTGACGTGTCTATAGCAGTGAGAAGACGTTACCTGTAATCTAACAGTGAAAGTCCTTCCATTTCACCGCCTCCCCCTCCCCTCCCCCATGTAGACAAGCCTTTCCTTTCTACTGTCCATTAAATATACTGTATATCCTCTCTATTTTCACCGTCATCTTTCTCCATCTCCTTCTCTCTCTGCACCACCTCCTCCACCACCATCACCTGCACCTCCACCATCACCTCCTACTCCACCACCATCACCTCCTCCACCAACATCACCTTCCCCACCATCACCTCCTCCCCACCATCACCTCCACCCCACCATCACCTCCTCCCCCCACCATCACCTCCTCCACCACCCATCACCTCCTCCACCACCATCACCTCCTCCCACCATCCTCCCACCATCACCTCCTCCCCACCATCACCTCCCACCATCACCTCCTCCCCACCATCACCTGCACCTCCACCATCACCTCCACCCACCACCATCACCTCCTCCCCCATCATCTCCACCATCACCTCCTCCTCCCCACCACCTCACCTCCCTCCCCCCACCATCCCACCACCATCTCCCCCCCACACCACCTCACCCCCACCATCACTCCTCCACCTCCCACCTCCCCACCATCACCACCACCTCCTCCCCACCATCCCACCTCCCTCCCCCCACCTCACCACCTCCTCCCCCACCACTCACCACCTCCTCCCCCCACCATCACCACCTCCTCCTCCACCATCACCATCCTCCCCCCACCACCTCACCATCCTCCTCCCACCTCCTACCTCCTCCCCCACCATCCCCTCCTCTCCCTCCCCTCACCCTCCTCCTCCCTCCTCTCCTCCTCTGGGTGGACGGGAGGCTACCAGAGAAGACGAGGATCCGGCTGCAAGGTATTTAGCCCCATACGTTCATCGTGACCACTAGTCAATATTTAGAACTAGACACTCAGACAGACACTCCTAAATTAGCTGTGGGAGGAACGAACCGGGAGGGGGGGGAAGTGACGTGTGTAGGGGGTGGGGAGAGGATGAGGGTGAGGGAATGGGTCGGTGAGGAGTGACGTGTGTTAGAAGGGAGAGGGAAGGAGAGATGATAGGTGATGCAAGGTGATAGAAGTGATGGCAGTGAGGAAGGGGGGGTGAAAAATGAGAGGTGATGAGGGACGAGTGAGAGGTGATGAAGGACAAGGGATGGTGAGAGGTGAGGGTGGGTAGGGGATGGTGAGGGTGAGGGATGGTAAGATGATGGATGTGGTGTATGGGATGATGAGATGGTGGGTAAGGGATGGTGAGAGGTGAAAGTGAGGGGTATTGATGAGGATGAGAGGTGATTAAAGGTGCCGATTGATGAAGTGTGAGAGATGAGAGAAACTAAAGATTTAGATAAGGTAAAGGAAGCCGTAAGGGAGGAAATGTGGGAGAGGAGAGAGAAAGTGTGTAAGAGATGTGGGAGAGGAGAGAGTGTGTGGGAGAGGAGAGAAAGATGTGGGGAGAGAGAGAGAGAAAGGTGGGAGAGGAGAGAGAATGGGGAGAGGAGAGGAGAGGAGTGTGGGAGGGAGAGAAAGAGGAGGAGAGGAAATGGGGGAGGGAGAGAGAAAGTGTGGGGAGAGGAGAGAGGGGAGAGGAGAGGGGAGAGAGGAGATGGGAGAGGAGAGAGAGATGTGGAGAGAGAGAGAGAGGAGAGAGAGTGTGGGGAGGAGAGAGGTGTGAGAGAGAGAGAGGAGGTGGGAGAGAGAGGGTGGGAGAGAGAGAGAGGCGTGGGAGAGAGAGAGAGGAGGCGTGGGAGAGGAGGAGGGTGGGGAGAGAGAGAGAGAGGAGGAGAGAGGAGGGGGAGAGGGGAGAGAGAGGAGGCGTGGGAGAGGAGAGAGGAGGCGTGGGAGAGAGAGAGAGGGAGAGCGTGGGAGAGAGAGAGGAGGCGTGGGAGAGAGAGAGGAGGCGTGGGAGAGGAGAGGAGGCGTGGGAGAGGAGAGAGGAGGCGTGGGAGAGGAGAGAGAGAGAGAGAGGAGGCGTGGGAGAGGGAGAGGAGGCGTGGGAGAGGAGAGGAGGCGGGGGAGGAGAGAGAGAGGGAGGGGGGAGAGGAGAGAGAGGAGAGGGGGAGAGAGGAGAGAGAGGAGGCGTGGGAGAGGAGAGAGGAGGCGTGGGGAGAGAGAGAGAGGAGAGAGGAGAGAGGGTGGAGAGGAGAGAGGAGGCGTAGAGAGAGGAGGCGTGGGAGAGGAGAGAGGGAGGCGTGGGAGAGGAGAGAGGAGGCGCGGGAGAGGAGAGAGGAGGCGCGGGAGAGGAGAGAGGAGGCGTGGGAGAGGAGAGTGGATGCTGTTATTCGCTAACAAAGTGGTCCGTCCGCTGCCTCACCAGCTGTTCTCTGTTGATGTGCTGTTTTCATCTGATGGCGACTGTTGCTGCTGCTTCTGCTGTTCTTAACACTTCTGCTTTTCCATTTTTTTCGTTTTATCTTGTTCAGGTTTTCCTTGTTTGTTATTTTGTCCCTAGTTCCTCGTTCCAGTTTCTGCTTGTTTTTGTTTCTCTTGTCTGTCTCTGCATCTGCTTCTATCGTCTCTGCTTATATTTCTATTATCTCTGCTTATACTTTCCCTAATACTCACATTGCTTCTCTTCCTCTTCTTACCTTTTCCCCTTCTCTTCCTCTTACTCCTCCTCTTCCCCATTCCTCTTCCTCCCCTCGCTCTTTCTCCTTCTTTATCAAGTTACCCTCTTCATTTTACCTTTCCCACTAACTTAATATCCCGCTTCGTCTCTCAAGTTGAAACATAAACACAATGCTCACTAAAACTGTCCCACGTCGACCCGAAACACACGAAGGATCTTTTCAGTAAAGGTGTAAAAATAACAAAGATTAATTTTGTAAATACAGGAGCTTCATCCATGTGAAAAACGATTACGGTATCTCCTATAGATTCTCCCACGGTTTATTTCATCTGACGATTAACCACCCTAATGCTAAGCTAACCTAACCTAACGCTAAGCTAAGCTAGGCTAACCTAACGCTAAGCTAATCTAACCTAACGCTAAGCTAACCTAACGCTAAGCTAACTTATCTATCCTTACCTACCCAACTCTAACCGAGTAGTAGCATTCGGATTAGGTTAGGTTAGGTTAGGGTGGTTAATCTTCAGGTTAAATAAGCTAGGGAAGGAGAGAATCAACAGGTGACTCCCAATTAATGCGACATATTCAGGTGACTCACCCTGGTAAAATCGATAAAGCTTAATTTCATCCATTGAGGTCGACCATCCAGTAAAACTTTCACGTTACGATTTATTTATTTAACTGCAAATGAAAGCGACGGGGGGAGGGGAGATATGTCCTGGGCTTGGAGTTTATGTCTAGCTGGCTTATTACACAGGTCAAACTAAAGCCAGTTTAAGCCAATGGATAATGATTTATACATAGTGCGTTAAGTTTAAACCCCCACCAATAATATTCAAAAAGCATCGCAAATTAACCACCCACGCACGCACGCACATACACGCACGCACGCATGCATGCACCCAGGCACACGCAGTAAAGTACACAGCTAGTGGGATTTTTTTCCCATTAAAGTCACAAAAATTGCGACTGTACAAATAATCGAATCGGTTAAAGATTAGGCACCCCAGTTGATTTCATCTTGAAGATTAACCATCGTAACTTAACCTAAACTAAGATATTCTAACCAAACCTAACCAAACCAAACCAAACCTAACCTAACCTAACCTAACCTAACCTAACCTAACCTAACCTATCCCCTCACTCGCCCCAGGTAGCGTTAGGGTACTTAATCTTCAGGTGAAATAAGCTGGGGGGTAGTATCTAATCATCTGATAATGCCCCCCCCACCCCAAAAAAACCCCACCCTTTCGAGGAGCTTTTTACGTTTCACTCGTTATATGAACATTACAATAGAAGACTAGTGACGTACCCAGACCAAAGTCCCAAGTGACATGATGTAAACAGCTTCCATCCTTATCAACACAGGTGTGGGTTTACTGATAAAAAAAACTGTACCTTAGATGTTTTATGAGCGGCTTGAACTCCTTACACTGACTAGTAAGGTTAATGTTGTTATTTCACCTGAAGATACGATTAAAGAGTGATGACGTCATAGTTGATTTGTTTTAGATGATTGTTTTTTGTTTTTTATTTATGAAACTTTGGTTATATGTTGGACACACAAGTCCCCGGTCATGGATATAACTGACCGATGTAAACTAAAAAAAAGTCACAGTATAGTTAGGTTATTATGTATTTTACTCCTTATGTTATTTACATTTGAAGGTGATAATGTTTTTTAGTAATTCGTCAGTTATTCAAACATCTTCATTGATGTTTATTGTTTTGTTTTTAATTGTGGTGTTTGATATCTCTCGTTTGTCTGTCATTTTTTTTCCCTTTTGATGTTACTAATAGTAGTATGTGATATTTTCTTAGCCTGAAGTAGTGTGTTATTAAAATAGAAAACAACATAAGAAAAAAAACAATAAACCGTATAGAAAAAATAATATAAGACATTTTAAATCGTGCAGGAGACACTAGACACCCCATCAAGAAACTACGAGACGCAAACATTTACATAAGGTGGTGAGGCAGAATTATACAAATGGAATAATTTTAGAACTGTCTTTGCATAACCTTAAGTGGAAAATCATGTGCGAGTCAGAGGTTCACGGTCTCCCAGGCTCCGGAGGCTCCCCGAGTGTCGAGAGGCTCAATGCTCCTAGTCCTGATAGAGAGGAACCTACGGAGAGCCCAAGAGACTCCCTGGTAACGAAAGAGTCTGAAGCGGCGCAACAAGATCCCGAAACCCCGGCAGGAGATGCCTTAGAGACCCCTGGAGCCTCAGAGGACGACTCGAAGCTCGATCAAGTCTCCACCGGCAGCAGAGATTCTGCAGGAGTCACGCCAGCGTCGTCAAAGGAGTCCATAGTCAAGAAGAACTCAGACGACGAAGAAGGGATCGATCCCTTCAGCGTCAAGACAAGCGACACCATAGATGCTCTTCTTCCCGGCAAACCTGCCGACAGGAGAGGATCTAAAACAGTAAACTTCAAGGACCCCGAAGTAGAGGAAACACCTATCCAGAATGGGAAGGAAACGGTGACCTCCTCCCCTTCCTCTACGTTGTCAAGGTCTTCGAAGGACGGCAGTGACCTTCTGGAGGAGGAAGGAACGTCTGAGAAGCAACTCAATAAACACAGGGCGTTGGGGGAAGGCAACCCTGTCTATCGACTCTCCATGAAGCTCTCACCTAACTTGTTCAATATGACGGTAAGTGAATGTAAGCAAGAACTACCTGAGAGAGAGAGAGAGAGAGAGAGAGAGAGAGAGAGAGAGAATATTATTTCTTTGAACGTTAACTCATATTTCAGACACGTCAAAGCTTCAGTTCGGGGGGTTAATGGTAAGTGATTTTTTATCCCACTTCACCTCTGGATTATCTTTAATTACATTTTTTCTCATTAGGTACAAACAGTGACAAAAAATACATCAAATACTCTTATAACATTATAATCTAAAACTAAATAATCACATAGCTGGAATCAGTCATTTTAAGTCATTTTATATTCATAGTTACATTAAAACACCAAGTTAATGAAAGTCATGTAAGAATCATTGTATATGATCCCCACCTAACCTAAGCTAACCTTACCTGACGCAACAATCACAACTAACTTGGCTGATTAATATTTCCTATTCTAGTACAACTTTTATGTTATTATCACCAGATGGGATATAGATAACAGTACCTGAACTCCTCCCACCTGTCCTGTACCTGTATTGATTCCTCCAGGTATTTTTTTTTCTTATCCAATGTTTTAATTAACGAACCTAAAGGAAATTACATCTAGTACAGATTTTTTAACAACCTTTATACTGAATAGAAAAACCGATATATACAGTATATAAAAATAGTCGATTATGTTATTATATTATGATTTTGTTATTAATTATTCTACAACATCTAACTTCAAACTTACTTAAATTCCTATCCATAGTGATCCCAAGTTCTCAGTTTTCATTGGTAAAGTTATAAATATTACGACAGCGACCATCCCACACAACTTTCCCCATTACAAGAGTGACCCTTTAAAAATGTCTCTAATATAGGAGAAAATCACAACGAAAACGACGACAATGATGATGACAACGATAATAATGATAATGACAACGATGACAATTGCAACGATGATAATGACAAGATGATGATGATAAAGATGACAATAAACAACGGCTACAGTGACAACGACGGCGACAAAATATATATATCCATTTTTTTTGTAAACAGACGAGATAACTACACCGAGTCCTTCATCTAGCGGCCTAAGCCTCCAATAACCATTACCTTTCATATAATCATTTGTAATTTTAATTAACGAAAGGTGAATTATCTCATTGGGTTACACTCAAGGGACTAAAGTTCACTAAATAAATTGATGAACTAATGTATTCAGTGGCACGTTTATGTACAAAATGTTTGTGTACGGTATCTTGTGTGTGTACGTGAGCAGTGTATTTTCCCGAACAAGATTTTTTTTAGTGTGTGTGTGTGTGTGTGTGTGTGTGTGTGTGTGTTGGGGCTGAGGTTGATGTGATCCATTAGTCTTCGTTTATGCTGATGGTTTTCTTGTTTATTTTTTTTACCACGAGTGAGAATAAACGAGTTTTTTCCATATGTTAGCAGGGGATGAGGAGGGTGAGGGCATCTCTGAGTTGGGAGCTCTACATCTGCTTAGTACACCTACACGACGCACCAGACAGTTTTTATTAATTTTTTCATGCCAGTGGTGGGGGTGAAGAGAGGTAGGAAGCATCTCTGAGTTGGGAGCTATAAACCCATTCTACTTGGCACACCTGTACGGCGGCACACGCCCGCTTGGTAAATAAGTTTGGCACATCTGCTCAGGCACATGTGTAGAGCAAAATTTTAATGTGGGGGAGAAGTTCTCATTACTGTAAGGAGGTCCATCATTTAGGGAGATCCAGGATGGGGAAAATTTGGGGGAAGGACGTGGGGGTGATTTAAATTAGGAAAAGGAGAGTCCAGGTGGCGGGGAAGAGATATTAGTTAAGGAAATTTTTGTGACGGAAATATTCCAGGTACTTGGGGAAGATATGTGCTGGAAAACTTAAAGGAGAACGAATCCAGAAGGTGAGGTAGACGAGGAACATTCCAGTTGAGGTAATTTTGTGAAGGTAAAATCCAGGTGAAGGGAAAAATTCTCAGGATACCACGTAGGGTTGAGGATTAACGGGGGGCGTAGGTAAGTGTAGGGTAGGGAATGGGGAAATGTGAACCGTGTATTGTACCTAAAATCCCGGGGAACAAGACGAATTTAAGGGAGGGTCACTATAGGAAAACTGAGGAAAGGGGTAAGAATTTTAGGGAGGGCAATTAATAAACAGGATGGGGGTAGGTAAGCATGTTCGAGGTAAGGGAACTAATCTTCAAACACCTGGGTGGTCTAACGCAGAAAATAAACGATAATGACTAAAAGAAGGAGATTGAGAAGAAATAGATAACCATTAAAGTAAGAACATCATGACCCATCAACTAGGGGGCGCTTGGGGCAAGAGATAAGGGGGACTTAGGTAAAGGGAGCTCACCCTACCTACCTGGGGAGCTTAAGGTAGATGATAAGGGGAAAACATCCTTCTGAGGCTATTTAGGAAGGCAAAAGGCAAGGGAGAGAGATCGTCCTACCTACCTACCTACCTACCTACCTATACCTGGGGAACGCTCAAGGCAAGAGGCAAGGAGACTAAGGTTAGCGCCAGACTCAACACCGGGGAGGTAAGGCCACACAGCGTGACTGCCAGGTAAAGGTCGAGACGTCAACACCTCACATTATTTTCAAGATCTGGGTACGATTCACGCCGGCTCATACATTGTTATTAGTGGTTTATCTTCGTCGAGAAGGAGTTAGGCAGGCAAAGGTGTTGGTAGAGACAGATTGGTAGATATGTAGATGGACAAACAGACACATAGGTATATAGATACACACACACACACACACATTATATATATATATATACATATATATATATATATATACACTGTATCTGCAGAAACACACAGATGCGATGTTCAATACAATACCCCTCCTGTCCTATTAGTATGTTTGAAAGGCTATAGAAAATAAAATTCCGAATACCTGTAAAATACTCTAGTCTAAATAATCAGTATAGGGATAACAACCTGGACCTAGTGGTAAAGTTCTTGTTATGAGAGAATGACCTTTTTTCAACAATATTTATCTCAATAAGATACATTTGTACCGAAAAGCGATTAAATTAAATTCTAAAAACAAAATAAAATAAAACTTATCTCGATTTTTTTTGAGGATTCACTCTCCAGCACCTGTATAACACACCTGGACGTGAACAGCTGTGGTTCATATCTCACAAGACTCACGGCTCATGTACTCAATAATCTCTCCCGCCCCCCATCTACTCCTCTTCACTCCACCTTCTCTTCATTCCCTCCTCTTACTCTTCTCTACCCCTTCCCTTCCTCCACCTCCTCCTCCTCTTCACCCCACCTCCTCCTCCTCCTCTTCACCCCACCTCCTCCTCCTCTTCACCCCACGTCCTCCTCCTCTTCACTTCACCTCCTCCTCCTTCACTCCACCTCCCCTTCTTCTTCACTCCACCACCTTCTTTCTTCACTCCACCTCTCCTCTTCCTCCTCCTCCTCCTCTTCACACCACCTCCTCCTCCTCTTCACTCCACCACCTCCCTTCACTCCACCACCTCCTCTTCACTCCACCACCTCCTTTCTTCACCCCACCTCCTCACCTCCTCCTCCTCTTCACTCTTCCTCCCTCTTCACTCCACCACCACCACCACCTCCTCCTCCTCTTCACTCCACCACCTCCTTCACTCCACCACCTCCTCCTTTCCTCCCACCTCCTCCTCACTCCACCACCTCCTCCTTCACCCACCACCACCTACTCTTAACTCCACCACCTCCTCTCTCTCCACCACCTCCCCTTCCTCCACCACCTCCCCTTCACTCCACCTCCCCTACTCCACCCCTCCTCCTCTCACTCCACCACCTCCTCCTCTTCACTCCACCACGTCCTTCCTTCACCCACCACCTCCCCTTCCCTCCACCACCTCCTCCCTTCCTCCACCACCTCTCCACCACCACCTCCCTTCACTCCACCACCTCACCTCCACTCCACCTCCTCCTCTTCACCCACCACCTCCTCCTCTCCTCCACCACCTCCTCCCTTCACCTCCTCCTCTTCCTCCACCACCTCCCTTCACTCCACCACCTCCTCCTCACTCCACCACCTCCTCCCTCCACCACCTCCTCCCTCTTCACTCCCTCCTCTCTTCACTCCACCACCTCCTTCACCACGTCCTTCTCTTCCTCCACCACCTCCTCCTTCACTCCACCACCTCCTTCACTCCACCACCTCCTCCTCTTCATTCCACCACCTTCCCTTCACTCCACCACCTCTTCACCTCCACCACCTCCTCCTCTTCACTCCACCACCTCCTCCTCTTCACTCCACCACCTCCACTCCACCACCTCCTCCTCCTTCACTCCACCACCTCCCCTTCACTCCACCACCTCCTCCTCTTCACTCCACCACCTCCCCTTCACTCCACCACCTCCTCCTCTTCACTCCACCACCTCCTCCTCCTCGGCTGTAGATGTAAGAAAGCATCCAAAGGTCTCATTTACCCTCTGAGACAAAGATACCGACACAAATCGAATGACAATAGCTCTGACAAGTTACCGTAGTTGATGTTCTTTCATTCCATTAACAAGAAATAACGGTTCATCTTAAGATTAGACACCCCGGTTTATTTCACATAATGATTAAGCAACATAACATAACATAATTTAACATAACATAACCTTATCTAACCTAACTTACCCTACTAATCTAATCTAACCTAACCTCCCAGGCAAAATTTGGATAATTATGTGAAATAAGCTGGGATGCCTAATCTTAAAGTGTTCCAAAATAATTTAGGAATATCAGAGAATACCAATGTCGTATACTTAGGGAAAGAAAGACATAAGACACTAATACCAACTAACATTAATAATCTAACATGGTATTAACATCTGTGGTCCTAAGACAATTGTTTCTTTAAGATTGTTCTTCAGTAACTAAGACCTTGTGATTAAACCCTTGAGCACGTTGGTGTCTTGACTCTCTGAAAATGATAATTTATCCCCTGAAGTAGGAGGTCATCCTATTGAGGGATGAAGTCATCGTACTGAAGGGGTAAAGTCATCCTATTGAGCG